GTAAAGTCTCGAGATATTTCAGTGTGTTTATTTTTGGTGTTTAAGTGATAGTTTCCTTTGCTTTCTTCACCTCGATATGAATGCCTCGGATATTTGACTTACAACATGTAATTATTAAAACTGTGACGACATGCCTTAAGTAAGAGCTAGAATGTTTTGTAACAATAATAATTAATCATGTTACCATGGAAGATTTTTGTTAGCAACACTGAGGAACAAATGAACTATATATGTACACTTCTTTCCACGCGTGTATACTCGCATACTTGCTCCACGTGTACTTATATGCCTTCGACACGTGTTTACATATACATGTATATCTTATACGAGTATAACCATGCATTCCTTATACACGTTGTATACATGTGCATGCAATATATATATATATATATACACAGACACATATACATGGTATATTCTACAGTCCGTTATAAATCTCATATTCCCATCCTAAGTTAGCCAACCTCCCAAAATTCAACTCAGTAACTAGCGCCTCATTAAATAAATAAAACGAAGCCTGATAACATAGGTTCTTAACAGTACAAGAGTAGAAACTTAAACCTCGGAAATTAGCGTCTGTTTCAAGCTGTTACGACGCTCCACTTCGTCTATTACCTTTTAAACTACTCAATTCTACAACATTATTATATCTGGTATCGCTTATATTAATGATATGAATACGTGTATATTAATGGGTTTATTAATTCAATAATAACTAATAAAGGTGCTCATAGTTGCAGTTTCTTACTGTATGCCCCATATATAATGAAATGGTACACAAGACCACAAATATACAGAACTTACCGCTTACCAGGATTTGTTAAATTTGTATATGTTTTTACTTAATCTTTCACGTGTAACTCTACCCTTGGGTAATTATTTAGCCAAACTATTGCATCGTTTAATTACAGAGGAGTTTGTGATGGTTTCATTAACGTACAGAAAGGCGACTTACTCGCTTAGATAATAGACTTCGGTAGAAGAATGCTTTCTTTATTCTTGTCAGTTTCTCAGTTGCTCTGAAAGAGAGCGTTTAAAGGAACCTGACTTAGCAGTAATATCCGGGTATTTTCACTCAAGTTTACACATGTTTCGTTAGATGACGCCGTTTAAGATTAACTGTTTTCTGCTTCCCTTTGTTTCAACAGTCCATCTTGCTCGTTTTACAGGGATTTCTAATGAATATTACTCCGAAACCAGAAACAAAGCATGTCATTTACAGAATTACTGTCCACTAGCAGGGAACTACTTCAAGAAGCAGCTTTTATTACTCCACATGAAAATCCGTTTGCTTACCAAGATGTTAAGATAGAGTAATTAATTAACTGAATAGTGGCTTGATTAGCCTGCCATGCCCACTAATGTCTAACGTAATTAGCGTTTAACGCCTCACGTCTTTCCAGAATCTTCTTCAGCTATTCAGGCACTGTAAAATGAAAGGAAGAGCAACGGAGGGATAAAATGTTCAACATGACACGAACATGAATCCAAAGAAGCTGGTCACTCACAGTAACATAGATCGTGTTCTTATTGGAGAATATAAGAGTGACGTCTTTTCTGTATATCTAAGTAAAGTTAAGATGCGCCTGTAATAAACTTAACATTTTTTTCCCTCTCCCTTCATATTTTTAATTATTTCTAAAACAAAATTTAGTTCGGTTATTCGATAAATTTCGAGAAAAACATCGAGACTAATCGTGTAGTAAAGAGCGTGTAACCGTAAAAAGTGATTAAAGATGTATGTTTCACGGCAATTTTAATTATTATGTCTTATTCTTCAGTTCGAGATTTTTCATAGTGATTTTATTTTCATTTTATATCTTTAATTGAAATACCTGGGTCATTAAGCTTATGCTTTAAGTGAAGACTTTTGCTTTATTAGTTTGGCAAACTCTTTTTAAAAGCACACTGGCTAAGATCCAGAAAATCTGGTATTAATTAATTTTTGCTGTGTTACTTTTCAATTCTAAAAAACTCCCGGTGTGATTCCTTAAAATCCAGTTCAGAAGCACTCTTGAATGTGTAATCTTAGTATAAGTAAAAATAGTTTTTAGCGATAATAGAGACCTTTTACAGTCTACTTGGTGAGAGGTTTTGTTTTCGTTTTTCTATCACACATAGTCGAACGAAGTCTTGGAAGAGGCCTGATTGTGCACAGTCCAGTTGGTTAGAATCAAGCAGGAAGCTTGCTTCAGCTAGATTAATATTCACAGAAGGATAGGTGTTCGTCTTTCTGCTTCATTATAACCAAATGGGTCTTAATTAGCCATTGTTTTGAGCAGGCTGAGAGTCTGCGTTGGTGTTCTCGTAGTCCAGATCTCCCCCCTCTCTCTCTTTTCTAAACAGCGAATGTCTTCCTGATGAATATTCATTAGTTTCTTTCATATCGTACAGCCATAACCTTTTAACGTTCCCTTGCCAATTTCTCTCAGACAGTGTAAGGGTAATTAATTCCGTGCTGGCGAATGGGTGTTTGTTTCCAGTCGCTAGCGATGGTCTACTTAGCCTGTATATAACTTTGAAAGACATCCATCATATGAGAACGAGACGAAAAAGGTCAGAAAGCATCGTTTCCTTTTCTCTCATTACCCCCTGCATTCATGTGCTAAATATTATTGTGGCGTGTGTTTAAAAGTTTCATTAAAATTATAGCCAAATAGATTTAAGCCTAAGTTTTAATTTCAGAATTATGTTCCACTATGATATGGGTAAGTGGGTTGTTAAAAAAAGTAAAAAATACGGAGCAGCCTTAAAATCAACTAATAAGTTTTTGTGGTTTGTTTTGTTATGAATTTCGCGCAAAGCTACACGAGGGCTATCTGCGCTAGCCGTCCCTAATTTAGCAGTGTAAGACTAGAG